AATCTCTGCACCTCGTGGGGACCTGGAGCGTAAGTCATAATTACCCGGCAGGCACCCGTGTGGCTCGGGGCTGCCCGGTGGTGGCTTGCAGCATGAGGGATGTGGTGGCACTTCTCCACTGTCCCTGTTCCCACGACTGGCTCGTGCCTGTCACCTCCTGGCACCAGTCTCCTGCCCGTGGCAGAACTGCCACAGGGTCCCGTCACTGTGCTCTGCTCCCCTCCTGGTCCTGACTGGTTCAGATCTTGGTCCACTCCGTGCCCCATTTTGGGGTGATGAGCTTTGCTGGCCCCAATGGCATTTGTCCTTAAGGTGCTGTGTCCCGCTGCCCTGTGCACCCACCCCACTACACCCCAGAGCTGAGTGTGGGGTGGCACTGTTGGTCTAAGATGTTTTTTCCTACAGCACCCTTGGAGAGAGTAGCCTGAGATGCCCCAGATGGGGCTGCCAGGGCTGGGGGCACCCGGCTGTACACCTGTGCCTCAGATGGGGCTCATGGGGCGAGGGACACCTGGACATACCCCCCTGCTTCGGTTGGAGGACATCTGGCTGTGTCCCCCTGTCCCAGGAGGGTGAATGGGATGGAGGGCCCGCCCAGATGGTGCTGGGGGGTGCAGAGGGAGGGTGCTCAGCGTGTTTGTTCTGGGGTGCAGCGGGATGCATGTTCAGCGTGTCTGGTGGGGTGCAATGGGGTGCAGTGGGGTGCACTGGGGGGTGTTCAGCGTGTCCGTGACTCAAGCACCACGCGGCACCGCATCCCTGCGTGCTTGCCATCGCCATGGCAACCGCCAGGCAATCAGCGATAATTGCGCACGTCGGCCCGGCAACGGGGCCAAATAAACCCCATCCCTCCTTTCGGGGGGCCGGCGGGGAGCAAGGGGGAGAGAAAAAGAGGCAGTGCAGCTGCTGATCGCCACCCCTGGCCCTTTACTGGGATGAGTGGCAGTGGGGGTGCACAGTGGCAGGGCTGCCCTCCCCATAGGTGTCCCATGGCACCCATGTGCCCTGGAAGGCGTCAAGGGAGACAACCAGAGAGCCACTCAGCTCAGCCACCAGCTATGGTGTCCCCCACAGTGCCACAGGCTCTGCCAGCTCATCCCAGTTGGTGACCACACCTGTGTGAGGACAGGGTTGTCCCACACCTGGCTGGGCACCACTGACTCTGGCTCCTAGTCCCTGGCCAGCCTGCTCCTGATGTGGCCTGTTCCTGTAAAGATGACAGTACAAAAAGCCTTGTACTTCTCCACTGCCTTGGTCCCTGTCACATCCAGGGCTGGCTCTTGTCCCTGGAGACCTGATGGGGAAAGGGGGCTTGTTTTCCACAGTGTACTCCTGCATCAGGGTGATGATATGGCATTAGGGTTTGATTCCCCTTCCCCGTGAAAGAGCTTTGGGGGTCCCCTGGGTCTCTGGCAGTACCTGCAGCCATAGGGACCAGGGTGCAGGGAGGCTATTCAGGGCTAGAGCTCAGGGAGAGAACTGGCCCCCCGGGAGAGGACCAGGACCAGGACTGGGACATGGCTGGCACTGGTCCTGAATGGGTGCTGGCATGGGGTGAGCCTCCCTAGCTGAGGGCTGGTGCTATCTCAGGGACAGAGAAGGGAGAAAAATATGTGCCTTATGACCTGGAAGGCTTTCAGGTAAAGCAAAGCTTCCTGGAGGAGAGCAGAGCTCCCCAGGTGCTGGCAAAGCTCCTTCGGGGGTCAGCAAATATCCCCAGAGCCCAGCAGAGATTCCCAGGGACCACCAAAGCTCCTCAGAGACCAGGAGAGGTCCTCAGGGGCTACCAAAGCTTCCCAGGGGCCCCTGAAACTCCCCAAGTACCACCAAAGCTCTCCAGAGGCCAGCAGAGCTGCCTGAGTGCCATCAGAGCCTCAGGTGGGTGCAGGGGTTCCCCAGGCTGTGCAGGTGTCCCCAGTTCCAGGTTCTAGAGCCAGGCGGGGAGAGCAGAGGGACAGGGCTGGCTGCAGGGGCCGGGCTGGGGGCAGCAGGGGCTGGGGGTGCCGGGGTGCAGCCCCCCTGCTTCTCACAGGCATCATTAGCAAAACTTGCCGGTTTCTAAAAATGGCACGTCGGTGCCGCGGCGCTGCTCTTCACGCCCGCTCCCCGGCACCGGCAGCCGCTAAAAACAGCTCGGAGCTGCTGGCTGCCTCCTGCCACCTCTCCCCGGGACGGCTGGCACCGGAGACCACCGCCTCACCCAAACACTGATTTAGCACAATTTTGCCCGTCCTCAGTCCAACCCCCAGCCCGTGGCACCCGCTGCCTGCACCCGCTTTGCCACCAGGAGCCCAAACCCGCTGTCGAGGTGCCATTGCAGCATCCCCGGCAAACGCCGGGGCAGCAGATCCCCGGGCGATGCCGGTGGTGGGACCGTGCCTGGCTCTGCCTGTGCACCCGCAGCCCCGCGTGCGGCCACTCATGTTTTATAGATGGCTCCGATTTTAATAATTAATCCCTGCTAACGACAGCACTTTCCCCAAATAAAACATTTAAAGTGCTGTGTGTGCACGGCGCGTTGCCGGGATGGGACGCTGGCCGCTGTGCCGCAGCCGCGGTGGATGGGCATGGCACCAGGTGGCTTGGCACAACTTGGCACAGCGTGGCACGGCCCGGTGCGGCCTCAGCTGCCCACAGCTCAGCCCGGTGCTCCGTGCCCAGCCACCCTGTGCCACCACCCAGTGCCCAGGTGTGGGTGCCCAGGTAGCACCTCCAAGACACCTCCCAGCTGGGGCAGGGGTGCCAGGTGCCATGTGAGGTGCCACCCTGCGAGGTCGCCTGCCTGTCCCTGGTGCAATGGCAGTGGGCACAGTGCCAGTACCAGTCCCACTGGCAGTGTCAGGCAGCATCGGACAGGGGTGGGCACATGCCAGCCCTTGGCATGGAAGTCTGGGCGCTTGCTCCTCACCTCCTGCAGCGTAATTAGGGCAGGATAAATGTGGATTAGCATGAAATCTGTCATCTCTGCAAGCACATTCCTGGGGGGAGGGGGCAGCCTGAAACAGGGGCTGCCCTCACGCACGTCACCGTAACCACACCAGACTTGTCAGCTAACGAGCAGTTCACTGTGCCACCCCATTGTCAGCACGGACAGCCCCAGTCCCACTGGGGGCCCTGCTCACACTGGCTGCTCCCACAGCTGTCCCCTGTGTCACTGGACAGCAGGCTGGCATGCATCTGCCACCCAAACATAGCCCTGGGCACCCACTCTGCTTCATGCCAAGGAGGGCAATAGCCAGGGTGCCAGTCCATCCATCCATCTTTGCATTCATCCAGCCATGCATCAACCCATCCCTCCATGCATCCACACATCCATCCATGCACTCATCCATCCATCCACGCATGCATCTATCCATCCCTTCATCACTGCATCCCATGAGCTGCTGGTGCCCCAGTCAGCCACCCCGGCTGCCTCCCAGGCATGCAGCATCCCCCAGCACCAGTGCCCAGCGCCTCCCATTGCTGATCCAGCCCTAATAACCACACAGTGCCAGGCTCTTCCCGTTGCCACAGCAACTCGGCAGCGAGCCGAAAAGGTGCTGCTTGGCCTTACATGTGCAAGGTCAGCACCTACACTGGAGGTCACGGTCACCCCAAAACCCAGGCCAGGGGAGCACAGCAGTCGCACTGTGGGGAAACTGAGGCAGGGTGCTGGCAGCTACCCTGACCGTGGGATGCTGGGACCCAGCTGTGCTAAAAATACCCTTGGGCGCGTGGCGGCGGAGCCGTGCAGGTGCGAGGCACCGGTGGAGATGGACAGCTTGGCTGATGGGAGCTGATGTGGCCCCGGGCTCCAGCGCTGCTTAATGAGCAGCCGAGGAAGTTTTATTTAAAGCCAGTGTTGGTGGCAGGGCCCGTGTGGATGGACATGGAGTAGGAGCAGTGCTGCCCACAGCCACAGACCGTGTGTGTTTCAACATCCCTTGCCCATCCTGGACTTGTCCTGAACATCCCCTGCCTGCCCATCCATCCATCCATCCATCCATCCATCCATCCATCCATCCATCCCAGACCCTGCCCTTGATCCCTGCCCTGAACTCTGAACCTGCACCCAGGCAAGGGATGCCCATCACTGCTCCTCTCCTCTTTTCCAGTGTCTTGTTCTAGGTGATTTTTGCCCCAAAACTGGGGCAGAAGGGACATCTTCATCAGGATGAGTTCCTTGCAAATGTGGCATCTGCCACCACTTCCATCAAAAGGAGCACAAAACCAGCTCACAGGGCAGCAAGCATCACAGACCCATGCCCATCTCTTGGCATGCCCTGAGGCATGAGCTGCACCTTCCCCTGCACAGGCAGTGCTGAAGCAATAAAGGTGTCATTAAGTGAAGCTGGTAATGACTCTTGGTCACCAGACATCAGCCCCAAGCCCGAAGCAGTGTGCCCCACTGGACCCTGTGCAGGCAGGCAGGGTGAGGAGCAGTTGATGGGCTGGATGCCATCGTGCCCTCACTGTGATCGCATGTCCTGGGCACTGTGGTCCCACAGGCACTTCAGTTCCAGGGACACTGAAACCCCATGCCCTGGGCTCCATGATCCCATGACTGAGCACCATGACCTCAAGAGCATCCTGGTCTGATGCCGGGGCACCTTTCATCCCAGGAGCATCATGAGCCCATGGGCACTGCAATTCCGTGCATACATCGTGCCACGAATCCCAGGGCCAGCATGAGCCATCTGCCAGGACTGCAGGGCCATCATCACCCCATGCCAAGAGCATGGTGCACCTAACATGCCTCATGCCCTACAGCCACCTTGGCCATGGGCTGGATATGGCTGGGAGCAGGACTTTTAGGAAAACCCTCCCAGACATCCCAAGGTCAGAGGGCCATGGTGGGACATGGTGCAAAGTGGGGCCCTGGCCTGGTAGGAACTGGGGGATGGTTCCAGGGTGGCCACAGCAGCACCGTTGTGCATCACCTTTGCCACCTTTCACTGGCACAGCAACAGTGGGTGCTCCCTCCTCAGTGCATGGCCCCCTCAAAGACACAAAGCCTCAGCCAGGAAAAAATACAATTACGTTTTAATGAGCAGCCAAGAGGCTGGAAACTCCATGGGAGCCCTGGGAAGGCCAGGCCACCCAACATCACCTGCTGGGTATGGGGCCCACAGCACCCATCCACTATGGGACTGAGCCCCAGAGCACACACTCATCACTGTGGGGCTGAGCCTCACACCACCCAGCCAGCGCAGGACTGAGCCCCCAGTATCCTGTGGTGCAGGACCAGTCCTGGGGAACAGCCAGCAAGGTCTGGGTGTGAGCCACTGGAGAGCACTCCACAGCACCCAGCTGCCTCCTAGCACCCATCCCATAGGGAGGGTGCCCCATAGCATCCGGCTGCACATTGCATCCCTCCTCAGGGGGGTGTGCCTGTGGTATATGGGGGTCTGGGAGATCCCACGGTGCAGGAATCCCCATCAGCACACAGATGTGTCATCATCCTCCTCTTCCTTCTCTTCCTCCTCCTCTTCCTTCTCTTCTTCCACCTCCTCATTTGGTTCATCCTCATCCTCGCTATCAGTCAGCTGCCCCCGGGGAGCAGGGGGAAAGGGAGGACCCCAGTCCAGGTTGATGTAGGTGACAGCCAGGTTGACATAGTGCTCACCATCCAGCGCAGCCAGGACACGCTCCAGCTCACCCACCAGCCCGGTGAAGGACGGTCTCTCCTCGGGCGCCGGCTCCCAGCAGCTCAGCATCACCCTGTAGCTGTACCGACATCCCAGTCAGCGCTGGCAGCACCCCAGGACACCCCCTGCCACCCTGCCCACCCCCAGCTCCGCTCACAGGGTGTCGGGGCAGTGAGAGGGCTGTGGCAGGCGTCTCCCCTGCAGCAGGTAGCGGGCCATGTCGTAGGGGTCCACCCCGGCATACGGCGACGCCCCACGTGTCAGCAGCTCCCACATGAGCACCCCAAAGGACCACTGCCGAGAAGAGAACTGCCATGGGCACACAGGTAGGATGAAGATGGGGGATGGGGAGGGGGGTCATGCCTACCACATCAGACTTTGTGGTGAATTTTTGGGTCTGGAGGCTCTCCAGAGCCATCCACTTGACGGGCAGCTTGGCGTGGCGGTGCTGCCGGATGCTGTAGTACTCCTTGCCAAACACGTCGCGTGCCAGCCCAAAGTCAGCCACCTTTACTGTCAGCGTCTCGTCCAGCCTGTAGGACACCAGGTCAAGGTGGGGACTCCTGGGCATCCCCAGACCCAAGCAGTTACCCTCTGGTGGAGGTCTGGAGGACGCAGCCACACTTACATGCAGTTCCTGGCTGCCAGGTCCCGATGCACAAACTTCTTCTGGGCCAGGTACTCCATGCCCAGGGCCACCTGCAGCCCGAAGCCAATGAGCTCCTTCACTGTAGGGCTCTGTGAGATGGGAGTAGTGAGCATGGAGACCTTGGCACCCACCACGGCCCACCCCCCTCGGGGTACCCCCTACCCGCTCCTGGGTGCGGATGAACTGGCGCAGGTCCCCGTGGCGCATGTAGGGCAGGACGACAAGGGGCAGCCCATGGCGGGGCAGGCACACCCCCAGCAGCGAGAGCACCTGCGGGTGGTGGAAGCTCTTCATGAGGATGCCCTCGCGCAGGAACTCCTCCACTTCCTCCAGGTCCGTGATGCCTGCGGAGAGCTGAGCTGTGGCCATTCCGCTGCTGTGCCACGGGAGCACGCGTGGGAGGGGGAGCTACTCACGGTGCAGGGACTTGACAGCGCAGTGGAGGTCGCCCAGCAGCGGGTCCGTGTAGGTGCCGTGGTAGACGCTGCCAAAGTGTCCTGCAGGGACAGGTGGCACAAAGCTGGCACCCACACACATTGGGCAGGTAACGCCACAGCCAAATTGGGGTGTAGAGTCACCTTTGCCGATGACCTGGTGGCGGTGGGTGACAAGCCGCTCCTCAGGGATGAGGATGTCCTTCACTTCCTCCAGCAGCTCCGGCCGCAGATCCTCCAGGCAGCAGGATGAGGCCCTGAGCAGTGGCATGGGGGATCCGCCGCCCGCTGCACCAGCCCCGGCACTGCCATTGGCACCGGCACTGGTGACTCGTGTGCGGGGCCCCACGGGGCCGGGAGTGCCCGCTGTGTTCAGCACTGCTGGGACAGGCAGAGGCGGGGTGAGGGCTGGCAGCACCCAGCACCCCGCCACCCACGGGTGACACCCACTTACCCAGCACCTCTCTGTAGTCGACGCCGGGGCGCTGGGTGGTGATGGGGGGGTCGCTGCGGCCGGGCTGTGCCAGCAGCTCCAGGTTCTCCGTACCTGCAGGCAGCAGTGAGTGGGTAGGGGGTGGCGTGGCAGGAGTCTGGGGGGCACCAGAGTGCCCGGCCAGCACGGCACTCACCCCGCCTCTTACTCCAGCGCCAGCGGAACAGCACGGCAGCCAGGATGCAGCAGACCAAGAAGGTGATGCCGGTGCCCAGAGCCAGGCTGGCGGCCAGGTCCAGCGAGGTGGGGGAGGACAGCACCCAGCCCAGCGCCTCACAGGCTCCGTTCACACAGATCTGGAGGATCAGCGGCTCAGCAGGGATGGGGTGGGGGGAACTGGGGCGTGTGGCTGCCCACCCAGAGGGTTCCTACCTCCACGGGGGCCCCAGCGGAGGTCAGGTGCAGCTCGCGGGGCAGGCGGCACGTCACCTCGTTCTTCAGGACGTTGGGGTGGCAGTCCCGGCCCCCCACCGTCATGGTGATGTTCATGCAGCTGGCCACGGCATCCAGCCCCAATTGCTGCCCAGAGAGAGCACCGTGATCTCGGGGGTCCTGGCAGTGGGACCCCCTACCCTCACCCCACTGCCCCACGTACGTGCACCTCGATCTCATCATCGCCAGGCTTGAGGCGGAGCCGCCTGCCCTCCTGCTCCAAGGGGTAAACCTTGGGCCGGGAGTAGTAGCGGAGGCGGAACAGCCAGCGGCCATCGGCGCCGTCCAGCAGCACGCTCAGGTTCCCCAGCACCACCTCCTTGGGCACCTTGCTCTCGAAGGGGAAAGCTGGACTGTGGCACAGCAGCCGCTCCGGTGCCGGCGGCTCCTCACACTCCTGTGGGGAGGGAGATGCTGAGCACCGGCTCGGAATGTGCCCGGGGGACTGCGGTGGGGTGGGCAGGGCCGGGGGGCGATGGTCCCACACCCCGGTGCTTACTGTGGCTTGGGTAATCACACCACCGGCTTCAAAGCGGATCTTGGCGCGATACACAGAGTCCAGGTGGGTGCCGATAATGGTGAGCAGCGAGCCCCTGCGGTGGGCGGGGATCAGATTCCCCGGGGTGCACACGGTCCCCAGGGTGCCCGCAATTCCCAGCACCTCATCCAGCCCAGCCAGGGCAGTTGGCAGGACAGGGCTGTCCCCTCAGCCAGGAGAAGGGAGCCCACGCACTCACTCATAGCTGCAGCTGGGGACGACGGCGGATACCGTGGGGTCGGGGCGGTACTGGAAGGGCCCGGGAGCCGGGAACTCCTCCCCGTCGATCCACAAGGCTACCCGGGCTGGGCCCGGGCCAGCGGCGGCGGGAGCCGTGCACCCGATTGTCCCGTTGTCCTGGCTGGAGACACGACAGCCGTGGCTGGGGGGACTGCGGGGGCTCCCCGTGCCCGTGCCGGGACCCGGCTGTGCCAGGCGGGGACAGAAC